CTTTTCTTTTTTTTCTTTTCTTTTTCTTTTTGACAGGCAGAGTGGACAGTGAGAGAGAGAGAGACAGAGAGAAAGGTCTTCCTTTTGCTGTTGGTTCACCCTCCAATGGCCGCTGCGGCTGGCGTGCTGCAGCCGGCGCACCACGCTGATCCATAGGCAGGAGTCAGGTGCTTCTCCTGGTCTCCCATGCGGGTGCAGGGCCCAAGCACTTGGGCCATCCTCCACTGCACTCCCGGGCCACAGCAGAGAGCTGGCCTGGAAGAGGGGCAACCGGGACAGAATCCGGCGCCCCGACTGGGACTAGAACCCCGTGTGCCGGCGCCGCAAGGCTGAGGATTAGCCCAGTGAGCCGCGGCGCCGGCCTATTTGTATAAATTTCATAAATACAACTTTAGGAACGTAGTAATTCTTCCCACCATACCCACCCTCCCATCTACACTCCTACCCCTCTTCCACTTCCCTCTCCTGTTCCAAGTCTTGCTTTTTACTAAGATCTATTTTCATTTAACTTTACACACAGAAGATAAACTTTATTCTATTCAACACTTTGTATGAGGAAGAAAAAGAAAAAGAAAGAAAGAAAGAAACCAAAACAAACAAACAAAAAGAAAAACTAAAAACATAAAGGAAAAAAAAAAAAACCACCAGAACAAAAGCTGTTCCTCAACAGTCCAGATAAGGGCTGTTCAAAGTCATTGCATCTCAATGGTAATTTCGCTTTTTTTTTTTTTTTAACTTAATTATCTTTTAAAAGGAACCCAAGAATGATACATCTTTTGTGAGCACTTAGACATAACTATAATTTGTATGACAGAAGAATATTCTCCACTTAATACACTAAAATGAAGTAATTCTTTGAGAACAAGTTTTACTATTAAGTCTCATAATGCAACTCTTTGAAGACAGAGGTCACGCATGGGAAGTTAGTGCATAGTGACTCCTATTGTTTATATAACAATGAACACTCTTATGGTTGACGTCAGTGATCATCCGAGGCACTTGATGAGAGTTGCCTAGGGTATGGAAGCCTTTTGGATCCACAAACTCCTTCAGTAATTCAACAAGGCCATAGGCAAAGTAGAATTTCTCCCCTCCTTTTGGAGAAAAGTACCTTCTTCTTTGATGACCACTTCTTTCCACTGGGGTCTCACCCACCGAGGTCCTTCATGTAGGACATTTTTTGCCACAGTGTCTTGGCTTCCCATGCGAGAAATGCTCCCCTGGGCCTTTTAGCCAAACCAGAATGACTTAAGGATTGATTCTGAGGTCACAGTGCTACTTAAGGTGATTGTCATTCTATGAGTCTGCTGTATGGATTGCTTCCCATGTTGGAATATTCACTTTCTTTTAAATTCAGTCTATTATTGTTACCAAACACTTATCCTATTTATATGATTGTTTTAACACTTGATCCTATCTATATGATCACTTTAACACTTAATCCTATCCGTATGATCTCTGTAACACTTAGAATGCTATTTTTACCACCTAACTTAAGGGGATTTGGGGGTCCCATGGCAAGTTTTTAAGCTGTACCCTTAGAAGTAAGTCCATAGGAATGTATGCACAACTATACTGCTTTACAGTTACAAACTTCATGCATTTCACAATTACAACTTTAAGGTCATGGTGATTCTTCCCTCCATGCCCACTCTCCTTCCTCTTTCTTCTCTTATTCTGACTCTTATTTTTAACTGTTTCCTCAACCATTTTAACTTTTTTTAAACTATTTTCAATTAACTTTATATACACATATGGTTAACTCTATGGTTAGTAAAGAGTTCAACAATTGGTATGAAAGAAAAAAAGTACAAAATACAAAAAAATCAAAACTGTTCCTCAGCAGTCAAGGCATGGGCAATTCAATGTCGTTGCTTCTCAAAGTATCAATTTCACTTCTACAGGTTGCCTTTTAGATGCTCTATTAGTTATCACAGATCAGGGAGAACTATGGTATTTGTCCCTTTGGGACTGGCTTATTTCATTAAGTATGATATTTTCCACTTCATCCATTTTGTTGCAAATGACCAGATTTCTTCTCTTTTTCTTTTTTTACTGCTGTGTAGTATTCCATGGTGTACATATTCTATAATTTCTTTATCTAGTCTTTAGCTGATGGGCTTGTGGGTTGATTTAAAGTCTTTGCTATTGTGAATTGAGCTGCAATCTCTGTAATATGCTGATATAATTTCCCATGGGTAAATTCCCAGGAGTGAGATGGCTGGGTCATATGGTAGGTAATATTCATGTTTCTGAGGTACCTCCATACCATATTCTATAGTGGCTTTACCAGCTTACATTCCCACCAACAGTGGATTAGGGTACCTTTTTCCCCACATCCTCACCAGCATTTGTTGTTGGTTGATTTCTGTATAAAAGCCATTCTAACGGGGTGAGGTGAAATATCACTGTGGTTTTGATTTGCATTTCTCTGATGGCTAGCAATCCTGAGCATTTTTTCATCAGTCTGTTGGTCATTTGGATTTCCTATTTTGAAAAATGTCTGTTTAAGTCCTTGACCCATTTCTTCACTGGGTTTTTTGTTTTGTTGTTGTTGAGTTTCTTGATCTCTTTATATATTCTGGTTATTAATCCTTTATCAACTGTATGGTTTGCAAATAACTTCTCCCATTCTGTTGGTTGTCTCTTCACTTTGCTGATTTTTTTCTTTTGCAATGCAGAAGCTTCTGAATTTGATGTAATCTCATTTATTGCTTTTGGCTTTGATTGCCTGTGTCTCTGGGGTCTTTTCCAAGAACTCTTTGTCAATGTCAATTTCTTGTAGGGTTTCTCCAATGCTCTCTAATAATTTGATGGTGTCAGGTCGTGGATTTAGGTCTTTATTCCATTTTGAGTGGATTTTAGTACAAGGCGTAAGGTAGGGGTCTTGCTTCATGTTTCTGCATGTGGAGATCCAGTTTTCCCAGCACCATTTGATGAAGAGAATGTCCTTTTTCCAGGGATTGATTTTAGCTCCTTGGTAAAAATGAATTGGCTGTAGATGCTGGATTGATTTCTGGAGTTTCTATTCTGTTCCATTGGTCTATCCATCTGTTTTTGTACCAGTACCAAGCTGTTTTGATTATTACTTCTCTGTAGTAGGTCTTGAAATCTGGTATTGTGATGCCTCCAGGTTTGTTTTTGTTGTAGATGATTGCTTTAGCTATTCAAGGTCTCCTGTGTTTCCATATGAATTTCAGCATTGTTTTTTTTTTCCTATATCTGAGAAAAATGTCTTTGGTATTTTGGTTTGTATCACATTGAATCTGTAAATTGCTTTTGGTAGTGTGGACATTTTGAAGCTACTGATTCTTCCAATCCATGAACATGGAAGATTTTTCCATTTTTTGTGTCTTCTTCTGTTTCCTTCTATAATGTTTTGTAATTCTCATCATAGAGATCTTTGACATCCTTGGTTAAATTTATTCCAAGGTATTTTTTTGTAGCTATTGTGAATGGTATTGATCTTAGAATCTCTTTCTCAGCCATGGTATTGTCTGTGTATACAAAGGCTGTTGATTTTGTGTGTTGATTTTATACCCTGCTACTTTTCCAAACTCTTCTGAATTTCAACAATCTCTTAGTGAAGTCTTTTGGATCCCACATATATAGAATCATGTCATTTGCAAATAGGGATAGTTTGACTTCCTCCTTCCCAGTTTGTATCCCTTTGATTTCTTTTTCTTGCCTAATGGCTCTGGCTAAAACTTCCAGAACTACATTGAATAGCAGTGGTGAGAGTGGGCATCCTTGTCTGGTTCCAGATCTCAATGGCAATGCTTCCAACTTTTCTCCATTCAATAGGACACAGGCTGTGGGTTTGTTATAGATTGCCCTGACTGCTTGAGCAATGATTCTTCTATACCCAATTTGCTTGAGGTTTTCCATCATGAAAAGTTGCTGTATTTTATCAAATGCTTTTTCTGCATCTATTGAAATAATCATATGGTTTTTATTCTTCAGTTGTTAATGTGATGTATCATATATATTGATTTGCTAATGTTGAACCATCCCTGCATACCAAGAATAAATCCCATTTGGTCCCGGTGAGTGATCTTTCTAATGTGCTGTTGGATTCGGTTGGCTAGTCTTTTGTTGAGGATTTTTGTCTCTAAGTGCATCAAGGAAATTGGTCTGCAGCTCTCTTTCTCTGTTGCATCTTTTTCAGGTTTAGAAATTAAGGTGATGCTGGCTTCATAGAAAGAATTTGGGAGGATTCCTTCCCTTTCAGTTGTTTTGAATAGCTTGAGAAGAATTGGAGTTAGTTTTTCAAATGTCTGGTAGAATTCAGCAGTGAAGCCATCTGGTCCTGGGCTTTTCTTTGTTGGTAGGGTCTTTATTACTGATTGAATTTCTGTCTTGGTTATTGGTCTGTTGAGGTTTTCTATGGTTCATTTTAGGTAGGTTGTATGTGTCCAGGAAACTATCCATTTCTTCTAGGTTTCCCATTTTGTTGGCATATAGCTCTTTGTATTAATTTCTGATGATTCTTTTTATTTCTGTGGGGTCTGTTGTTACATATCCTTTTTCATCTCTAATTTTGTTAATTTGGGCCTTCTGCTTCCTCTTTTTGGTTAGGTCCATTTGGTATATAGTGTCAATTAACTGTTTTCTCCTTGCTGATTTTCTTTCTGGTTGCTCTGTCCATTCCTGAAAGTGGGGTATGGAAATCCCCCATTACTGCACATTTGATCTGTGGAGTCTTTCCTGTGAGCAAGGTTCCCTGTCTTATGAGCTGCAGTAGGTAACGAAGGAGCTCAGAGTGTGGAGAGGCACTCTGTGGTTGCCCAGGATCTAGCCACACTGTCTCCTCTTATGTAGTCACTGTTTTTTCAGCTCCCAAGGCCCTCTAGGTCATGGATTTTCAATGGGGCCACTCCACCCTCCTAGTCAGTCCTGTTTATAAGGAAACTCAAGTGTTCCCAGAGCCGCTGTGTGTGGTCCTCCCAACCAGCTTCAGTGTCTGGGGGCGGGGGCGGGGTGGGGGGGTAGGGTTTTACCTCTGGTTAGGTCTGTGGTTCACAGGTGTGTAAAGTGCCTGCCCACTGTAGCCCCACTCAGTTCTTGATGGTGCTCTGCGGGTAGGAGAGTCCCACAGTCTGTGTTGCCCCTCCCCTGCCGTTGCTGGGCAACTGGTGCAGAAGGGGAAGCAATTCTTCTGAACTGTTGTGGCCCTCACTGATTGGGTCAGATGCGACCCCTGTTATTTATTGTTGGGCTGCCTGTGTCCAAAAAAATTGGCTAAGCCCATGAGCCCTTCCCCCACTGGTTGCAGATCTCTGCTGTAGGGAGTAGGGGGAGGGACACGCAGTCCCCCCACCCCACCCCGCCCCGCCCCGCTTCTGCTGACTTAGGGAGTTCGCGTGGAACTTTAAAAGCAGTATCAGCAGCACCGTGGGCCCGGGGAGTCCCCTCACCCGATTTGCCGCGGCAGGGGTCTTCCTCCCGGGATCCAAGCTTCTGTTGTTTTCTACTGTTTATTTGCTCCCTTGGCACGGGTCTGGAGCATTTCTATTGCTCGCGCTGGGTCTCCTGCTGGGGTTCCCCCAGAGCTCTATCCTACCAGTGTATTCACTCCCCTTTTTAAATATTATTTTCGTTCCCGGTCAGATTGGGCTGTTGCTATTTTGCCATCTTGGAACCCCTGTTATGGACATCTTAAGTACTAGAGCAAACAACTGTCCAGGATGTCTCCTTTTGTTGTTGTTTTTAAGATTTATCTTATCTTATTTGAAAGGTAGAGTTACAGAAGAGGCGGAGAGAGAGAAAGGGAGATCTTCTGCCCACTGGTTCACTCCCCAAATGGCCACAATGTCTAGGGCTGATCCATGCCAAAGCCAGGAGCCTGGAACTCCATCCAGGTCTGCTATATGGGTAGCAGGGGTCCAAGCACTTGGATCATCTTCCACTTCTTTTCCAGATACATTAACAGGGAGCTGGATCAGAAATGGAATAGCTGGGACTTGAACAAGCACTTGTATGGGATGCCAGCATTGCTGGTGGTGACTTAACCTGCTTTACCACAATGCCAGGCCCAGGATGTCTCTTAAAGAAATTTGATTTCCTGGAGCTGGCATTGTGGCGCAGCGGGTTAATGCCCTGGCCTGAAGCACCGGCATCCCATATGGGCACCAGTTCGCATCCCAGCTGCTCCACTTCCAGTCCAGCTCTCTGCTATGGCCTGGGAAAGCAGTGGAGGATGGCCCAAATCCTTGGGCCCCTGCATCTGTGTGGGAGACCCAAAAGAAGCTCCTGGCTCCTGGATCCTTTGGATCAGCCTAGCTCCAGCCATTGCAGCCAACTGGGGAGTGAACCAACAGATGGAAGACTCTCTCTCTCTCTCTCTCTCTCTCTCTGCCTCTCCTCTCTCCATGTAACTCTGACTTTCAAATAAATAAATAAATCTTTTTAAAAATTTTGATTTCTTGTGCCCATTTACATGGTAAATTTGAACTTGGGTCTTTCCTGAATCTGTGGGAGTTTTTCTGACCTTGCCACACTATTGGTATGTCTGGTGTCAGATTCTGTACAATTTATGTGTCATAAAGGAAAATGTGAAAACCTCAAATTCATTGCTGTATAGCTCTTCACATGAGATTCCTTTATATCTAAATTCTTGTCTCCTCATTAGTCACCAATTTGTGGAAATTACCTTCCAGAGTGTTTGTGAATGCAAGGTCTGCCCAGCTTAAAGCGGCAACTTAAATTCTTGAGAGCCTGAAATCATCTAAAGAGTTTTCTTCCTTGCATTGTCCTGAGTCAGGGCTTCTGCCCAGAGCTGAGTGCATGCTCCTAAGAGTGCTTCTTGAAGATGTTTATTTTTCTCATCCCAGAGATGCTGAAGGTACATCTTGTACTGGAGAAGAAGTGCTTATCTTGAGATGTGTGTAAGGATGAAGTACTTCAATAAAGAGCCAGTCCTCTGGTACATTTACCCTGACAGCTGAATTTTGTATTCCAGGCCTTGCTCAAGCCCTGGAAATTTCAGGGCTGGATCACAGCTCAATTTTTTTTAAAGATTTTATTTATTTGAGAGATAGATTTACAGACAGAAAGAGGGAGAGACAGAGAGAAAGGTCTTCCATACACTGGTTCACTCCCCAAATGGCAGCATTGGTTGGAGCTGAGCCCATCTGAAGCCAGGAGCTAGGAGCTTCTTCTGGGTCTCCCATGCAGGTGCAGGGACCCATCACTTGGGCCATGTTCTTCTGCTTTCCCAAGCCATAGCAGAGAGCTGGATAGGAAGAGGAGCAGCCAGAACACAAACTGATGCCCATATGGGATGCTGGTGCTACAGGCGGAGGTTTAGCTTACTACGCCACAGCACCGGTCTCCCACAGCTCAACATGAAACAACTTTGTGTTTACCTTCGTATTCTAGGGACCATGCTAAGTGTTCTTTGTCAACATACTTACTCAGCCTTCTGATACTCTGAGGTGCTATGAGCCCCATGTCATCAATGTATAAACAGGAGCTTGAAGAAGTTCAATAACTTGCTCATGGCCACAGAGCTAATAAATGTGAAGCTGGAGTGCAAACCCAGGGCATCTGTTAAGATCCACTCATGACATTTTTGAGACATCAATTGTTTCAGTGATTTGCTTAAGCCAGTGATTCTCAACCCTGGCTGTACAGTCGGACCCTCCAGAGGAGTATTTAAACATCTTGATGTCCAAGTTGCACCCTAAGCCAATTAAACCAGAAATTCTGGAGGTGGAATCCAGGCACCAGTAATCATCAGAGCTCCCCAGGTGATTTCAATGTGCAGCCATATTGATAATCAGTTGCTAAGCAATCACAATTCTTTCCATCTGTTAAATTTTTTTAATGAGAAAATAATTCGATTCCATTTGCCCAAGCAATAGCTGGGAGGACCTGATGTACAAGGCATGGAGCTACTCTCTGTACTCTGGCACTTCTTTTCTCCCTGGGGATCCAGAGAGCCCAGGCCTTCACTTTCTTATTCTGGAACAAAGAGGAAGGAGTGATTGCTATGGTAGACCTATCGCGTTTAGGTTCGCCAGACACTTTAGGAAGACTTCCACTCTTTTTTTTTTTTTAAAGATTTTATTTATTTATTTGAAAGAATTACACAGAGAGAGGAGAGGCAGAGAGAGAGAGAGAGACAGACAGACAGACAGGTCTTCCTTCCAATGGCTTACTCCCCAGTTGGCTGCAATGGCCAGAGCTGTGCCGATCAGGAGCTAGGAGCCAGGAGCCTCCTCTGGGCCTCCCACGCGGGTGCAGGGACCCAAGGACTTGGGCCATCCTCCACTGCTTTCCCAGGCCATAGCAGAGAGCTGAGAGCTGGACCGGAAGTGGAGCAGCTAGGATGCGAACTGGTGCCCATATGGGATGCTGGCGCCTCAGGCCAGGGTATTAACTCGCTGCACCACAGTGCAGGCCCGACTTCCACTCTTAATAGTATTATCTTCAAAGGGATTTTAATATTATCTCATGACTTAAAAGAATGCTTTGTTGCCATTAAGAAAAAAAGTTACAAGAAACAAAGGCAAAATGTCATAGATTTATATCTGGGGTGCTAAAAATTATCCTTGGTTGCCCCTGACACCTTAGAAGTGTTGAAATACTGATCCTATTAAAAGAGCTGTGAAGTCACTTGCCTTCCATCTGGACAGGAAGAAAATGAGCTATTACTGAGCACTTATGGAGATAGGCAGACATGAGTTCAAACCCCAGGGTTGCTATTTACTAGCTTTGGCCTTGAGCTTCTACATCTGTTTCCCTGTCTGTAAAGTGAAGTCGATAAAGTAGGACTGTCTGATTGGGGTACTGTGCATGAAGCACCTGGTGCCTCCTGACACGTGGGATCATGATTTTCATGTGGCAGACACCATGTTATCTACATTGGTTATGTCACATAATCCACACAGGACACCCTCAGAACGATGCTGTTGTTCCCGCTGAAGGGAGATGAGCCCCTGGGAGGCTCCACCGAGGGCCCAGGGCACATGGCTGGCGCAGTCAAGTTAGGATTTGTCTCTTGTGCCTGCAGCCTGCATTTTCTTTGTTTTTCAGGCCATGTGGCACCACCTTTGCTTCACAGGCAATCTCATGGCTGACTTATCTTTTGGAACAGGAAGAGCAGGCATTGGGCCTAGCGTTAAGAATCCACAGCAGAGTTCTTAAGATTGATTCCTGGCTTAGGCTCCTGATTCTAGATTCCTGTCAATATAGACCCTATGACGCAGCTGTGAGGCTCAAGTAATTGAGCTTCTGCCACTCACATGGGAGACCTAGGTTGCATTTCTGCCGATGGTCCCAGTTCCAACCTTTGCAGGCACTTGGAGGGAGAACAAGTGGATGGGAACTCTGTCTCTCCGCTTTTCAAGAAGGAAAAGGAGGAGGAGGAGGAGGAGAAGAAAGAGAAAGAAAGAAAGAACTGATATTCTCTAGATAAGTAAATAAAATTAAAAAGACAAACAAATTTCCAGCTATCTCCCCAGGATGACAAGGGATACTTGGTAAAGGAAGGGCAATTGTATTCACCCCTTTTTCCTTTTAAAGTGGGGTTCTACTTGGAGAACACCTAAGATACTGAAACCACAAAGCTCACTCTGGCATCAAGAACCCAGGCTTAACTTTCTGCTGAGTTAAAAAGCCTGGTTATCCATTGTCTGATCATTCAGAATTCCTTAATAGTTCCATATTCCCAAGAAAATTAAGTATAAATTCCTTCTGGGGCCAGCGCTGTGGTGTAGTGGGTGAAGCCACAGCCTGCAGCGTCAGCATCCCATATGGGCGCCAGTTCAAGTCTTGGCTGCTCCACTTCTGATCCAGCTCTGTGCTGTGGCCTGGGAAAGCAGTGGAAGATGGCCCAAGTCCTTGGGCCCCTGTACCAGCACGGGAGAATCGGAAGAAGCTCCTGGTTTCTGGCTTCAGATTGGCCCAGCTCCGCCATTGCGGCCAGTTAAGGAGTGAATCAGTGGATGGAAGACCTCTCTCTCTCTGCCTCTTTCTCTCTCTGTGTAACTCTGACTTCTGATGCTAGCTTTTGTGATTCCTCTATGGGAGATGGCTTGTGGGAAATATTTTAAGTAATTTAAAATGAAATATTCCTGAAATAGTTTAGGAGCTCCCTGAATGGGAAACTAGGAAAAGAGAGGACTTTGGAGACACATGCCATCCAGAGGAAGGTGTCGAGTGCTCACTGGGAATACAGCATAGGACCTTGGGGCACAGTGGACCTGAGATATAAATTGTTGAGACCATGAGATCAGATGAAATTGATTGTTTTAGGGTTAAGAAGAAGCAGAAGCAGAAGCAGAAGAAGAAGAAGAAGAAGAAGAAGA